TGTAGACATGAGCATGTTTATGATTTACACTATATGTGTGTACATGTGTATAGCACGTTATTTTGAGTGTAGGTTCAAAACCAGAACCCTAACAATATAGTTTGTCTGGAAATGCAATGTTGTACATAGTTTATCAATCTCCATTTGTAAGTATAGCACGTTATTTTGAGTAAGTATATCACATTATATTGTAAGTATAGATCGTGCTATAGTAAGTATAGCACGTTACAGATTAACGTGCTATAATTACTATTTAACGTTATATAGTACGTTAACCTGAAAGTATAGCATGATATATTGAAAGTATAGCATGTTAACCTGAAAGTATAGCACATTATATTAAAAGTATAGCACGTTATATTGAGAGTATAGCACAACCTGTAAGTATAGCACGTTAATCCAAAAGTATAGCACGTTAACCTGTAAGTATAGCACATTAATATGAAAGTATAGCACGTTAACCTGTAAGTATAGCACGTTAATCCGAAAGTATAACACATTATATTGATAGTATAGCACGTTAATCTGTAAGTATAGTACATTAATCTGTAAGTATAGCACGTTAACCTGAAAGTATATCACGTTAAGGAGTAAGTATAACACGTTAATATGAAAGTATAGCACGTTAACCTATAAGTATAACACGTTAATCCGAAAGTATAGCATGTTATATTGAGAGTATAGCACGTTAAGCTGTAAGTATAGCACGTTATATTAAGAGTATATCACGTTAAGGAGTAAGTATAGCACATTAATCTGCAAGTATAGCACATTATATTAAGAGTATAGCATGTTAAGGAGTACGTATAGCACGTTATATCGAAAGTATAGCACGTTATAGAGTAAGTATATCACTTTATGGAGTAAGTATAGCACATTATATCGAAAGTATAGTACGTTAATTCGAAAGTATAGCACGTTAACCTGTAAGTATAGCACGTTAACCTGTAAGTATAACACATTAATATGAAAGTATAACACGTTAACCTGTAAGTATAGCACATTAATATGAAAGTATAGCACATTATATTGTAAGTATAGCACGTTAATCCGAAAGTATAGCACGTTATATTGAGAGTATAGCACGTTAATTTGTAAGTATAGCACGTTAATCCGAAAGTATAACACGTTAACCTGTAAGTATAGCATGTTAATATGAAAGTATAGCACGTTAACCTGTAAGTATAGCAAGTTAATCCGAAAGTATAGCACGTTATATTGAGAGTATAGCACGTTAATCTGTAAGTATAGCAGATTAATCTGTAAGTATAGCATGTTAACCTGGAAGTATAGCACATTAAGCTGTAAGTATAGCATGTTAATATGAAAGTATAGCACGTTAACCTATAAGTATAGCACGTTAATCCGAAAGTATAGCACGCTATATTGACAGTATAGCACGTTAATCTGTAAGTATAGCACGTTAAGGAGTACGTATAGCATGTTAAGGAGTACGTATAGCACGTTATATCGAAAGTATAGCACGTTATAGAGTAATTATAGCACTTTATGGAGTAAGTATAGCACATTAAGGAGTAAGTATAGCACGTTAATATGAAAGTATAGCACGTTATATTATAAGTATAGCACGTTAATCCGAAAGTATAGCACGTTATATTGAGAGTATAGCACGTTAATCTGTAAGTATAGTACGTTAATCCGAAAGTATAGCACGTTAACCTGTAAGTATAGCACGTTAATATGAAAATATAGCACGTTAACCTGTAAGTATAGCACGTTAATCCGAAAGTATAGCATGTTATATTAAGAATATAGCACGTTAATCTGTAAGTATAGCACATTAATCTGTAAGTATAGCACGTTAACCTGAAAGTATAGCACGTTAATATGAAAGTATAGCACGTTAACCTGTAAGTATAGCACGTTAACCTGTAAGTATAGCACGTTAATCTGAAAGTATAGCACGTTATATTAACAGTATAGCACGTTAATCTGTAAGTATAGCACGCTATATTAAGAGTATAGCACGTTAAGGAGTACGTATAGCACGTTATATCGAAAGTATAGCACATTATAGAGTAAGTATAGCACTTTATGGAGTAAGTATAGCACGTTATATCGAAAGTATAGCACGTTAAGAAGTAAGTATAGCACATTAATCTGCAAATATAGCACGTTATATTAAGAGTATAGCACGTTAAGGAGTACGTATATAACGTTATATCAAAAGTATAGCACGTTATAGAGTAAGTATAGAACTTTATGGAGTAAGTATAGCACGTTATATTGAGAGTATAGCACGTTAATTCGAAAGTATAGCACGTTAACCTGTAAGTATAGCACGTTAACCTGTAAGTATAGCACATTAATATGAAAGTATTGCACGTTAACCTGTAAGTATAGCACGTTAATATGAAAGTATAGCACGTTATATTGTAAGTATAGCACGTTAATCCGAAAGTATAGCACGCTATATTGAGAGTATAGCACATTAATCTGTAAGTATAGCACGTTAACCTGTAAGTATAGCAAGTTAATATGAAAGTATAGCACGTTAACCTGCAAGTATAGCACGTTAATCCGAAAGTATAGCACGTTATATTGAGAGTATAGCACGTTAATCTGTAAGTATAGCATGTTATATTAAGAGTATATCATGTTAAGGTGTAAGTATAGCACGTTATATCGAAAGTATAGCACGTTAAGGAGTACGTATAGCACGTTATATCGAAAGTATAACACATTATAGAGTAAGTATAGCACTTTATGGAGTAAGTATAGCACATTATATCGAAAGTATAGCACGTTAATTCGAAAGTATAGCACGTTAACCTGTAAGTATAGCACGTTAACCTGTAAGTATAGCACGTTAACCTGTAAGTATAGCACATTAATATGAAAGTATAGCACGTTAACCTGTAAGTATAGCACATTAATATGAAAGTATAGCACGTTAACCTGTAAGTATAGCACATTAATATGAAAGTATAACACGTTAACCTGTAAGTATAGCACGTTAATATGAAAGTATAGCACGTTATATAGTAAGTATAGCACTTTATGGAGTAAGTATAGTACGTTATATCGAAAGTATAGCACGTTAATTCAAAAGTATAGCACGTGTTCCTGTAAGTATAGCACGTTAACCTGTAATTATAGCACATTAATATGAAAGTATAGCACGTTAACCTAAAAGTATAGCACGTTAACCTGTAAGTATAAAACGTTAATATGAAAGTATAGCAGGTTAACCTGTAAGTATAACACGTTATTCTATAGGTATAACACGTTATATTAAGGGTATAGCACGTTAAGGAGTAAGTATAGCACGTTATATTGAGAGTATAGCACGTTATATAGAAAGTATAACACATTATATAGTAATTATAGCATGTTATATTAAGAGTATAGCACGTTATATAGTAATTATAGCATGTTATATTAAGAGTATAGCATGTTATATTGTAAGTATAACACGTTAAGTTGAAAGTATAACACGTTAACTTGTAAGTATAACACGTTAATCCGAAAGTATAGCTGATACGGGTGTATCGTCTCTTTGGAACTTAGCGATCCTCATGGGAGCTTGATGATAGATGATTCTCATGATAGCATGATAATAGAGGTATCAAATAGTATAGGAGAACGCAGGTTGTAGCGAGGAGCGAGGCAGAGAATTGAAGAGTCAAAGTATCCAGATTTCGGCCTGTGAGTCGACTTATACATATACATGAGTCGACTCATCAGGTTGAGTCGACTTATGCCTGTCATGAGTCGACTCACTAAACCAAGCCTAGTTCGCAGTTCGGCTCTGACCAGTCGACTCATCATTTTATGAGTCGACTCATCAGTCATAAGTCGACTCTTGTGCAGTTTTGAGTCGACTCAAAAAATAAGCCCTGTTAGCAAAAGTTTCTAACCAGTCGACTCATCAGTTATGAGTCGACTCATATGAGGCTATGAGTCGACTCATATGAGGCTATAAGTCGACTCATAACTATTCATGAGTCGACTCATCGGAGTTTTTCAGATTCGTTAAGGACTCTATTTACGCGTTTTCCTGTTTGGGTTGGGCTTGGTTATTTACCATTTTGCCACCCTTGTTTGTACACCTATATAAGGGATTGTTTTAGGGTTTAAAACAATCAGAGAGTTTAATCAAGAGAGATTAGATTATAATTGAGATTAGATTGTAATTGAGATTAGATTGTTATATTAAGAGTATAGCACGTTAAGGAGTAAGTATAGCACGTTATATTGAGAGTATAGCACGTTATAGAGTAAGTATAGCACGTTATAGAGTAAGTGTAGCACTTTATATCGAAAGTATAGCACGTTAATCTGAAAGTATAGCACGTTATAGAGTAAGTATAGCACATTATATCGAAAGTATAGCACGTTATGTCAAAAATATAGCACGTTATATCGAAAGTATAGCACGTTATGTCAAAAATATAGCACGTTATATCGAAAGTATAGCACGTTATAGAGTAAGTATAGCACGTTATAGAGTGAGTATAGAATGTTATATCGAAAGTATAGCACATTATATCGAAAGTGTAGAACGTTAACCTAAAAAGTATAGCACGTTATATCGAAAGTATAGCACGTTATAGAGTAAGTATAGCACTTTATAGAGTAAGTATAGCACGTTATATCGAAAGTATAGCACGTTAATTAGAAAGTATAGCACGTTATATCGAAAGTATAGCACGTTATAGAGTAATTATAGCACTTTATAGAGTAAGTATAGCACGTTATATCAAAAGTATAGCACGTTAATTCGAAAGTATAGCACGTTAACCTGTAAGTATAGCACGTTAACCTGAAAGTATAGCACGTTAACCTGAAAGTATAGCACGTTAACCGAAAAGTATAGCACGTTAATCCGAAAGTATAGCACGTTAACCTGTAAGTATAGCACGTTAACCTGAAAGTATAGCACGTTAACCTGAAAATATGATAAAAGTATAGCATGTCTTTCATTGATAACAAACACATAGGATACATACAAAATTATGACAAAAGTATCGCATGTCTTTCATTGATCAAAAAAGTATAGCATGTCTTACATCCAAAAGTATAGCATGTCTTACATGACAAAAGTATAACATGTTTTCTATCCAAAAGTATAGCGTATCTTCTATCCAAAAGCATGTCTTACACGACAAAAGTATAGCATGTCTTCTATCCAAAAGTATAGCATGTCTTCTAACCAAAAGTATAGCGTAGACTATATCTAGTCTGCAATAGGCTGTCTACATGTTCTACGGTTGTGACCATACTGTTAACATCTGCTACATTTTAACTCTTTGCCCGGATTCAATCCCGAAGGAATGCGCTTTGTCCTTGGTCTTCCACGAAGAATTGAAGTTGTTGGTGGCCGAATCACCATATTTTCATCATCTATATATGGCTTGTTATCATCAGGAATTGGGTATATCGGAAAGGAGTAGCATTTGCGGTATGTCTCCACACTAAAGTAGTGGGAAATATAGGAGTAAAGGGTGTCCATATCCTGTCGAATAATCGTCGTCGCATGTTTGCAAGGTAGCCCGACAACTTGCCATTCATGACAAGTGCATGTACGTTCATTCAAATCTACTTCAACGGTGGAAAATCATACACCTCGTACCTTCCGGTAGTAGAAGGAATTGCAGAAAGACAACGTGATTGCTCATTAATATGAATAAAGTGCTCTTCCACAATAGGAACAAATATTATGGTCCACTTGTGGGATGCCTCCCGCCTTTTAAAACTCATCCTCATCATTTTCTTGCGGATATTATCAATTGTTTGGGTAATTGGCAAATAACGAGCTTCTTTGATCCAAGAATTGAATGACTCCGCTATGTTTGATGTCAACCATCCATATCTACATGCATGTTAATAAATAGTAAGTATAGCAGGAATATATATCCTTAAGATTTGCATTTAAAATTTTGTAAAAACTTTAATTTTAACCTCTTCCCCATGAAAATAACAATTAGCCCAATTTTCTGGACTCATCCTCAACATTTCATAATAGGCGATCTTTGATTTGTTCTGTAGCTCGTTGCATTCATTGATATAGGAACGAGAAGTGTATGTATAAGCGGCCCTCTTCATAATTTGCACACATTCATCTCGTAAAGGTGGTATAATGCCTTTTTTCGATAAGTTATTCTTAAAATTAGCCAAAAGATGACGAATACAATAAGAGTGATGTGACCATGGAAAGCATTTCTTCACGGAATTCTGAAGTCCTTTGTCCCTATCAGAGATTAACACCAGTTCATCATCTGGAGTATATGGATCTTCATCATTGAAGATAATGTCTCGAATGCATTCTAAAACCATTCCCAATTACTCTCATTTTCCGTCCCGCATATGCAAATTGCTACGGGAAACATGCCACCATCTCCATTTAGAGCAGTTACGGCAAGTAAGGTTCCTTTATACCTATAAAAGAAAAGAACAATCATGAAACAAAGTATAAAATATATGAAGTAGTACATTAATGTAAGTTTTGATTAGATTGAACTTTACCATACCTATCAAAAAGATGTGTACAGGTTAACGTGCTATACTTTCAGGTTAACGTGCTATACTTTCAGGTTAACGTGCTATACTTTCATATTAACGTGCTATACTTACAGATTAACGTGCTATACTTACAGATTAATGTGCTATATTTACAATATAACGTGTTATACTTACTCTATAACATGATATACTTTCAGGTTAACGTGCTATTCTTATAATATAACGTGCTATACTTACAGGTTAACGTGCTATACTTACAATATAACATGCTATACTTACAGGTTAACGTGCTATACTTACATGATAACGTGCTATACTTACAGTATAACGTGCTATACTTTCAGATTAACATGCAATACTTACAAGTCTTGTATTTCATGCTATTCTTACATGTTATCATTCTACACTAAGATCAAATTTAACTAAAATTTCATCAATTATAACAAATTTGACTAATATTTAACTAATTGTTATGAATTCATAAAGAATAATGAGAAATTAGTGTGAAATAATTATGTGAAATAACTAATATGAAATAATAATGTGAAATTAATGGGTGGTTAATTACAAAGCCTCATTTAACTAACATTTTACCAAAAATAACGAATTTAATAATTTTTATGAACTCATTTAACTAACATATCAAATAATTATCATGATTAAAATGATAAATTAATGCTATAAACTTGGTAGTTGAGTAAATTGCAAATTTGTACCTTCAAATGCTAAGAAAGTTGGTGAGAAATAATTGCTGGGTTATAGGAGAGAGTTATTAAATGATGGGTTATAGGAGAGAGTGTTCAGCTCTATTAATGGGGTGAGAGAAAGAGAGAAGAAACCTCCTCTCTCTCTCTCTCTCTCTCTCTCTCTCTCTCTCTCTCTCTCTCTCCATTTTTTTATTTTATTTGAGGGGGACCCACTTACATGAAAGCTATAAGTGGAAGGTTATTATTGGAATTTTAGAAAAATATATAGGAGGACCCACATATGAGAGTATTGTATTTTAGAATTGGGTTTAAAGATAAATACAAAAAGAAAGTTGGGTTTAAAGATACAACTAATAATACTTGGGTTTAAAGATAAAGCTAGGTAAACAAATGGACCTAAAAACAAAAAAACCCTTCTTTTTAAACAATTACTGTAAATCCAAAAACCCACACTTAAGGATAACATTTTCTTTTTAATTGACAGATTTATGCTTTGTCAAACATTTAAGAGGGGTAACCTATGAAAATAAAACTTTTGAGAAACTAAAATAACAAAATTAAATTGTTAAAGGAACCTCTCACCGAAATATATATATATTCCAAAGCCTCCCAATCCAGCATGGTAACATTATGAGGTTAATTCTGTTACCGGTGTCTTCGTCCTCTCCGTCGTCATCGTACATCGTTGCCGGTGATATTGCCGATTCGGTCGCCACCGCGGACAACCCCAACTCAATTTCTGCGTGATCTAGTTGCTACACTAGCCATTGGTTTTATAGAGAAACAAGCACTCGACTTTCTTTCCTACCCTACAATAAAGCCTACTACCTACCCTCTTCACGTGACACATCTCATCCACATGTGACTCTACTCTGTGAACTTCCTTTTTCATTTTGAGGATTTTCTTTTTGATGTTTTACGTTTTAAGGGTGTACAAGAAAAATAAATGAAATACTCCCTATTCCTTTAGCAAACTTATGTTGACTTATTTATAATTTCACAATTGATTAAAATTATATATACGTATGCATGCATATATATTTGTGTCTGTTAATAACTTATTTTTCTAAATTTTCATTGTCTAAAATGTCAATTTAATTAGAAAATATAATAAATCATTTGTATGAGTGAAAATGTAATGATAATAAGTTCTTCCTAATATCATATATATAATCACTTTCTAAATTCTCATTCTCTAATTACACACACGTGCGCACGCGCGCGCACACACGAGTAAAGCTCCTATAAACTTAAGTGGATAGGATATGAGCTCTTTGTCCATCAATATTTTTATCCATTGATTTTGCATTGAGATTTGTGCTAGCATATAATACAAATGAATGCACAAATCTAAAAGATAGTAATGATGTGTAGCATAAATCTCAAAGTATAATGAATGGATAAAAAGTTTGGTGGACAAGTGCTCATATTGGTTGCACTTGCGGATACAATTTATATGATTTGGCAGGAACGTAACTTGAGGATTTTCCAGAGCAAAATGAGGAGCTCACAGCAGGTTCTTCGTGATATCAAACTGTCAGTTTATACAAAAGTGTTACATGAAAGTACAAGTGTTCATATGAAAAATCTCATTTTGTAGTTTTTCTTTTCGTTTACCAGAGAATGTCTGGTTTTTGATATGTTACACAAAGTCCATATTGGAAATGAATAAATTCAGTTCATTTACCAAAAAAAAAAGTGCTCATATCATATTAATGAATTAAAGAAATCAAAACATCAATCTAATCAACTTATACTCTCCGATTTTGGAGAAAGATTATCAAATGCCTAACTATGCGGCATGTAGCTTCAACTAGCCAGACTCTCAATAGGAGCGATCGTCACTCAAATATGCTCTCCACTCGTCTCTTGGAATTTTAAGCTTGGGCTTAAGGTACATGATTTTTTTTTTTTTTTGCTGAGTTTCTAAAAATTCTTGCTAAGAGTTTAGTTGAATCCGTATGAAAAGATTCACTCTATATTATTTCTCATCATGTTATAATTCGTAAATGTTTACTGGAGTTGGATCAGTTGCATTATTGGGTCTACTCATTCAATTAATTGGGTAAAATCTCTAAATAAAACAATGACAAAACGTACAACAAAGAAATTATTTAGCCGATTATTGTCATTCCATTACCGCTCAACATTGATTTACTAATATAACATTTATTTACTACTATAATAAATATGAGTATATATAATAATTCTACTTAAAAATTATAAAATTTATAAAAATTCAAGTATAAAAATATAATTTTTGTATGTAAAATTTAAAATCACTGTGTCATATAGAAGAAGACCCAAAAGACCGAGATCCCCCTCAGCCTTTCAGAAGCCTTCTCATCCCCAAAAGATCCCAAGGTGCTTTCTTTGTGGGAAACCAGATCATATGGCAAACAAGTGTTCTCTTGGAGCTTTTTAAATGCTTTGCTTGCAACCACGTTGGTCACACTTCAGCAAGTTGCCCTAACAAAAAGCAACCTCCTTTGATAAGTATTCCTCCTCAACATCCCCTTCCCTCTCCTCCTCCTCTTTTTCTTCCAAAGGTTTCTCTCCCTCCATCCGTCAGCTCGAGCATGGTCGAGTTCTCGAGATACGCCCATTTCCAGATCCAAGTTGGGAAACCAACTTATGCGGATCTGGTAGAAAATTTGGAGCTTCATCTTAAAGTAGAAAAATGGGCATATGTGATCAGACAATCATCGGATAATTCTTATTTTATCCAGTTCCCAGATGCAGAGACCCTGGATTATGCCTGCTCCAAACCATTCTTCAGTTTAGGGAACTTCGGTGGAGTTTTCACTCCATGGTCAGAGTCAGTTGGTCTCAAAGTCCTTCCAAAGTTTTTCTATGCTTGGGTGGAAGTTCTAGGTCTCCCTATTCACCTTTGGGATCCAGAGTTCATCACAAACATCCTGGTGGATATAGGTGACGTCATTGCCTTCTCCGACGATGTGATGCTCAAAAGAGAAGCCCTAGCTTGTAAAGCGATGCTGCATGTTAGGGATCCTTCTGAAATCCCAAAAAAAGTTATATTTAGGTATGTATCAGACAATGGAGTCCACATCATGGAAGGGTCAGTCAAACTTAGAGTGGTTGGTGACCCTTTACCAGCAGATAAAGGAAGAGATCGTGACCTTTTTGAAGCTTTTGTTCGTAAAGAAGGAGCCCCACCTCCCCCCCCTAAGGCCTAGTCGTCTCTAGGGCCTACCCAGAGACTTTTGTCCCCTTCTAAGGAACCCCTTTAGCCTGATATTAAAGGTAAAAGCCCCATGGTGGAGGCCGGAGGTTCATTCTCTCCTTCCCCTCAAGTAGAAGCTCCAGTAGCCCCGTCTGATCTTATGACCGTCTCCTTCAAAGGTGTTTCGATTGACATCTCAAAAGACTCCTGGTACTCCCTCAAAGCAGCATTTCCCAATCTGGTTGACGCTCCATCCCTAGCTCCTAAAGACGACACCGCCATCCAGATCAATTCTTCAGATTCAATGGAAATAGCATCCTCCTCCGATGTTCCTCCAGGCTTCGAATCTGCAAAAAGAAAGTCTAAGCCGGCCAAGAAGAAAGCTGCAAGCAACCACACTTTGCCTCTGCCTTTCAAGAAACACCTCGCCATGCTGAAGAAGGGTAAGTATTCAGGTATATCCAAACCGAAGTCTTCTTCTTCTGCATCTACTCCTCCTATCCCATCTTCTGACTTGGATCTTCTGGAGGAGATTTCTGTGAACTGTGGTATTCTCGAACCTGTGGACCCAGCAGGTTTGTTAGAAATCCAAAGCAGGTTGTCTCGAGGGGCCCTTCCTCTTTGAGCCTCTTTCTCATCCTTATAAGTTGTTTTCCATTGGTTATTATGCGTATTGGATCCTGGAATGTCCGTGGGTTAAATAACCCAGCTAAGCGTAGGTTGGTTAGGGAGTGCCTTTCTCTTGCATGTTATAATGATTGTATATATTAGTAATTTGAATTTCTATTGTATTTATAAAGAGCCTTAATGGATATGCTTTTGTCTTGGCAGCTTACTCTGAAAGAGTGCTGCATATTAGCTTTAAAATATAATATTTTTTTTCTTTACGGTGTTATATGGATGTTTGCTTAGTTTACTTACTATTCTTTTATTTTTTCAGTAAATTGTATCTTTGGATTGATATATATTATTTACACAATTTATAATGATATGCATATCTCTTCTATAGATTTGAAACAGATATAAGGTGAATTTTATATTTAGTGGCATTTAATAAGAATTTTAATAATGAAATACACTACCTTTATATTTAGAGATCTTGAATTCTAATAGTGCTATTACATCATTATCTTTGATCGTATCTTTAAGAATTGATCATTCGTTAGTGGTCATACCCCTAAATAAAGTCACACGTGGTCGTGATACTATATCAGAAAAAGAAAAAGGTCAATTTTATATTTTTTTGCTTAGGCAGAGTCATGACATAGTAATTTTTCTTTTATCTTCCTTGAAGAATGTTTATTTAATTGGAACAAAGTTGTGTAATATATTCTTCAAGGGGTATTCTGTCGGTGTTTCTTTGATAAATATAACTTATGTTAGTGTTAATTGAAGTGATCTATGGACGTTTTAAATTCCATTTGAAATGAAAACTACTTGATTCTTTTGAATGATGTCTCTAAATTTTCTAATAGTTCTCCATACATAAATCTTTATAATTTTTTACCCTATAACATATTATTACCATTAGAGATCAATATTTATAAATTATAATCAATTAATATTAAGCTATTATATTATAATATTTTATTAGTTTTTTGTGATTTAGTCTTCTATCAATTAATGATACTTATGTATTTTTGCTGCTCTTAACATATTGGTAAAATTATATGCATGTACTTTAATTTATATAACATTAATTTTTAATCTATTATATATTTTTTTAAATTTTTATTCTTTAACTTGATATTTTAATTTGTTATTATTACTATTTGTTTTACCAGTATCAACTTGACTATTTTCAGATTCTGAAAAGGAATAGTAAACTTAAAATTATAAGTTATATTTATATATCTTAATGAAAGAATATCACACAATTACTCTTTTCTTTGCCAAGTTCTAAATTTTCAGCTTTTAATTTCTATAATTTTAAACTTTTGAGAGTATTTTGTCTAATTTTTAAAACTTTTTTCTTTTTCTGGTAATACTTCATGTAATAAACTGATACTATATTTTATTAATCTTATTTAAATTGTTGAGCTATAGATAGTTCATGTGGTATTAAGATAGAATATGAGTATGATTAAGATAGATTATAATTTAAATTAAATATTTAAAATAGTACAGGGTAATTTTGATTATGAAAAGCTTTTCTCGAACTCGTTCTTTTAAAGGTAGTATGTTTTTTTATTTTGCTTATTTTTTTTAAAAATAATTTTGAGAATGTCTTTTGTCTCTTTAATATGTTTGGTGGATTTTGTAAATATTCCATTCACATTATGTATATTTTTAGGTCTATGTTATTCCCGGGTTCGACATTTGAGGTAGACATTATTTGTCTCATTAATTTATCTGGTTTTTGCATACATGCCCTTTATTTTGTAGACATTTATAAATTTGGCATTAAATAATTTTATTTCGTGTTACATTTCAATTTTAAATTGTATCCTTATCTTTACTATGTATATCCAATAAGAATTCAATAATTTATCAACTTACTCTTAATTAATGGAATAATATTTAAATTTCAAGGGTATTTTTATCTATC